GCTTTGTAAATGACAAAAAACACGCGGGACCAAAATGAATACTCTACTTAGTAAAGCAAGAAAAGGAGAGATACTTAATAATTCTGATAGGAATTCTCAACATCGTGCATGAAATACTTAAAAGCTGTTAGTACAAGAACATGTTACCTGCTCTCACAGAGGAGATCTTCTCTGCCGCTCGAACAATTTCCACTGGCAAGCACAGGAGGGGTATGGATGGTACCACTAATCAATCAGTGCTACTCACTTATTCACAACACACCAATCAAAATAAATGATTGAAAGGAGTCGGAAAGGGCAGGTGAATGCTCGAGTCAACGTGTAAAGATTTAAAGAAAGCAAATTAAAATGGCAATGAAAGTGGGAAAAGCAGCTAATTTTAATTACAAACTTAAACTCAGAGTAAGGCTTTAGTGAAGCTTCTCTCCCCCATGACGCTGTTGCCTTTAGCTGAAGACAAATTGCTAGCGTTTTTGTAATCTACTAAGTTAAAATCATTACCCTGACAGTGCCAGGAAGTCTAATTTCCTGGAGCAGTAACACAAAGATTTATAGGCAAATTTAAACACTCACCTTCTGGAATAGAAAATCTATCACCAGCATCAGGCTACATGGGAAGCGACTGGGTATTTGCGATAACAGCGAAAGAAGGAATTCACCTGCTGACAAGTTCACCCCAAACCTCATTCCCTATCTATACAGGTGGCTGACCAGGATAAATGCGTACACGCAAAGTTGAGCTTTCAAATATACGTGGGGTTTTCTGTCAGGTCCCCGTTGTTACAACAACGCAGCCTTGTTCAACCACGAGCAGTTTATGCTTATATTGCCATTAAAATGCAAGCAAGCTTCAATAATCAAAACGGGAAAGATAAATTAATAACCATTTTAATAACCGATTTAAAGGAGAAAAATGAGTTAGCTCATCCACCAGGCTGAAATGAACCCGAACATGACTCCTTATGCCTGAAAACTTTTAATTCCCTAACGACATGAACTGAAATCATAGCTGAACTTCCTTTTCAACACTCAGTACTATCTTAGAACATCCAGTTTTTTGTCATTAGATGTGCGTGCGCATAAAGAGGAGCCAAGAGTTTGTTTGATCCAGACAGGACATAGCTCTGGAGTTAATTAGTATTAACCAGGTGATTCCATATAAAAAGCAGTTTTGCTCTTCCGGACTTCCTCCTCCCTTATCCCAGTACTGACGAACAGAGGTGGACAATCCAACACCTTCACATCAGGAAGATTAAATGTCACCACCTTTCCCACGTCTTCAGAGGGCTGACACATATCAACGCTGATTCTCTCCAGGATACCTTATCTCACGCTCTGCCATTTGAGACGCTGCTTTCCACGGCACAGATATGATTAATCCTGATCTACCCCCTAACGTGGGAGCCTCCTGTCACTGTTACCTGCTTGGAAATAGGGAATTTGAGAACAAAGCCAAGGAAGCGTACTACCCTATAAACTTCCCAGGCACACAGGAGAAATCCACATTCACGCTGCGGTGGTGCAGAGGAGCACACCGCAGAGGAGGCAGGTGACACCACCGTCACTGACCTACTTTGCACTGGCAAAGGGATTTTAGCTAAGACCGTTCTTCCTCACAGAGGTAGGAATTTTTGAAAGCACTAAATTTAGCAAGGTCCCAAGCACAGCAATCATAATTTCTTGTCAGCGCTGTGTCCCTGTCTCGCGAGGCTCTCTATGCAAGCTCTTACCACCTCCCGAAACATTTACCCTCTCTCCCCACCTGTCAGAAAAATGTGCTCATTTCAAAGAGGAAACAAGCAGCTTTCTTTCCCCCCAATCTTTCTTCACAAGGGCAACAGTCCTCTGGACATGGCCAGAGCATATACAGGTGCTTGTTGTTGATGATGTTGTTCTTTTTAAAGTATCAGATCAGACAGCTTCTGAAAGCACTGCAAGCTCTCCCACCTGACATTATCCAGTTTACCGCAGACAACAGCCCTGCACTGGAACCACTCCCCAGCCTGACTGCCTGGCGCATAAAAGTGTTGGAGGTTTAGAAACTGTTTCAGGGCTACTCAAACTCTGTCTTGCAGTATAATCTGATTTCCATTAAAAAAAAATATATATATATACACACACACACACCATCAAAAGCAATCAAAAGAAAAGGAGACTCTAGATTATCCCTTTGAAAAAAGAGTTGCCTTAATTCATCCGTTCTTTTCCAGAGGAAACAAATTCCAGGAAAAAAAAAATTACTAGCATCTAAGCTAGGTAACAACCACAACACCCTTTGGTCTGTTCAGGATACAAATGCGTTCATAAGCTGTCCTGACCAAAGATGGAAAAAACCCTCTACCTCCCAAAACAGCTACTAACCCTCCCCACAAAACTAGAAACCACAAAAGCTTCTAGTTACAACGTCCAGCTACTGAACAGGCAGAGATCCCTGAAATCCAAGTCCTGTTGAGATCACACTAAATTCCCAGAGACAATGGAAAATAGGTCTGATCCTTGTCCAGTTCACAGTTTTTCAAGCCATCATCAGCACTCTATTAGTTAAGCTCAATGATCACACCTAAGAATGTTTTATAGGGAAATCATGACCTCATCTTCTTGAAACCTCCTTTTCAGATCCACCAGATGAGCACCAGGGAAGCTGACTAAGATTACAGGAAACCTAACACCACTGCATCCCAATATTTAGTTAACTACCGCAATGTTCATTTGCTGCTCTGCATGAACAACTCTTATTACTGCAATTTCATTTGCTCACCAAGATTCCAGCTGAAAACTCACTTTAATTTAGCTTTAATAATACATGAAATAGATTAATCTATAATTGTTGATTTTCGAAATAGCACTTCATTGTGTCACTCAAAACAAGCGCATTTGATCATTAAAACCTGCACGATTTTTCAGTCTTAGTAACGAGGTTCTGCTTCAGCTGAGAGCTGATCTCATCAGAGCCAATTATACTCCATGGCACAGACCTGACCCGAGCTTTCAAGGGTTCTGAAACTGCAGTTTTATTTTTCTTATCTTACTAAACAATTCAAAGTACTAACAGCCTTGTTAGAACCCTTAATATCTAGGAACTCTCACGTAAGCTAACGCTGTGCAGGACACTTCTAGTAAAATAAATGAACAAAAAATCTATCACAAGTTTAATTTGTTTTCCTCTTAACACACAAATGAAACGTTGCTCATGTTTTTTTCCCCCTGTCAAGGGGCTTCTTTCATCAAAATGCTGTGGGATTAATCTCCTGACCTAATCTAGCATGAGACAAATAAGTAAGACCAAAAATGTAGATTAAATGGGGGTATCTCAAAATTATCAAAGAAAACCTCTTCACTAGCATGCGATGCTAGCAATTACAATTAAATACAGTAACAAGCCGTGCAAGCTCAGAGAGAGAGATACGGCTCCCCTCAGATATGCCACATTTCTACCATTAGCAAAACTATGTTCTTTCTTTAATTAGAAAGAAAAAAAAAAAGTTATGCAAGATTTTCTCTGCAGAAATCCTTGATTTTAATTTTTGCTTTACTGGCACCTGCATCCCTACCACATTTAGAATCCCTTGCTGTATTTATTTTACATTTTTTTTCTTTTTTTTTAATCCTTAAAAAGTCTCCTTTGCAGCATAATCAATGCCCAGCCATGAACTGATGACATTATAGCAAAGGTTGGTTAGCAGGTTTTTTGCAGCTCTCAGGACAAGATGGCATTTATCTTCTAAAAGGTGCATTAGTATCTCATGCAATAAGGCACCAAATAAAAATTAGTGTTTAGGCATTAGCCTAGATACTATACCCACTGTAAATGGTGTCTGTAAATAGATTAGATCCACCTATAGATTAGGATTAGTTTGTGTATCATGAATCAGACCTTCATCGCCCATGAAGTTAATTGAGAGTCCAGCGTTTTACACGTGTAATTACTGTATCATTGACAACTAGTATATCTCTAAGGATGCTAGAGATGGTCTCAGCTGCTGCCCTCATTTTACAGTAAGGAGATCAAGGCACAAATCAGTCGATTTGATCAAGGTCACTAAGGTGGCAGAATTCAGGTCCCGAGTCCAGGGATCTTTCCCCTGAGTCACACTGCCTCTTTATACTCTCTGATACTGTACGCATATGATGCGGGATGAGTTCAAGATTTTTCTTCTGAAGAATACTCATGTAGTCCTCAGTATTCCCAGGTATTCCGGTGCTCTAGCAGAGGTTTTCCTGCAACACCAGGTACACCAGGCAGCACTGCCCTGGCTGCCACGGACAGTGCCTGAAGCTTTGCCATGCCCCTGCAACGCTCTGCAAATGTAAACCTGTACAAGTCTAAAAACATTATCCAGTGCTCTGAAGACATGATGAAACCCCAGATCCCATCAAGAGGCACACCATGCATACAGGAAGGAAATTTCTTGTTCGTGCAAGGTTTCACCTCTGCCAAAGCTGAAATACAGAGGCACAGTACAGAAGTCTCCTGTGAACCTCCTGACTTTGAAAGCTACGGGCATTGCTCGCTACAGCCACGAAACAATACTGTTATCAGAAGAACATCAACTATCAGTAAAAGCCAAAAATTGAACTCATCTTTCCCATCACTCTCCAATTCATCTAACACTGAAGAACTGAAGAGATGCCAGGGAAGGGAAAAGGCTGGTGATAAATAGACTTCCGTGATGTGTTCTGTAACTCCTTACGTTCAAGTCTAGCGCAGGCAAATTGCAAAAGGCGGTCTGAAGGACCAGGGCATGCGCTCAGCCCTTTCTGGGGGCACAACCATCTGACACTACATCTGAGGGGCTTCTGCCAGATTCCACCCCTCCAGCCTTTTAATACAAAAGTTACCTATATCCAGTATTGAATACTAAACAACAAGCACTGACACAGCTAGTACTTCAATCAACTGAATACAAGAGATCAGTGTTACACTCATGTCCTAGGTCCCTTTAAGGGCCCCCAGCTTCCGGGCTGCTTGTTATTTCCAAAAGCACAAACATTAGCATTACCTTTTGCTGTTTCAGATCGCTTCGGCAAATCAAGTGTATCAAAATTCCTGTCCAAATCTCCATTCTTCTTTCCTGCACAAAAAATAAGACAAATGGATAGTAAAAAGTGTCAGCATACTGACAGGTAAGTTATTGTCATGTGCATCTACAAGATGAGAGAAAATACAGACTCAGAATATCAATCAGAGCCCAGCAGAAGTATTTGTACGTCTCTGGCTTGCAATCCAGCTGCATAGCTGTGGTTTTAGCATGAGCAACCGGGGGACAAAAATTTGCGCTTTCAGGTTGATCTGCAAACGTGCTGACCCATTTCAGTGGGTCTTAAGAGTGCTTAAAATCTTTGCAAATTATGCCGTTTCCCTTCATTGCCAAGAAACGGCCCCTCCCTCAGAAGCCCAGTACTTCCCGTGTTATTTCCACAAAGGTAATGTCAAACCTAAAACGACTTTCATCCATTTTTGCGTAATACCAAATACATCTCGACTAGCAGATTATTTGTGAAAGTTTTAACTTGAAGCTTATCCAAAGCACAAACCGAGTGGCACAGCAAAGGGAAACGGGCTCCTCTTTCAGCCTCTATTCTCATTGCCGCTGTCAGGCAGGAAGGCCTAGATTTAATATATTGTACAGGCAACAGCCAGTAACTTAATCTTGAATTGCCCTTCAATCAATAAAGTGCAATTTTGGCTAGTTATTACAAACTAAGGGAAACAATTTCATATTTTTGCTAAGAGACACCATTTCAAACCATTACCTCAGCTTTAATTTATACGTTTTTTCAGAGAAGGTTAAAACAAAACCTGGGCTTTAGTCCACACTGGCAGCAGGCTTGGAATTCAGGGTTCGAAAACAGCTGGGGAGGCCGGGGTCGCGTTCAGCTCCTCTTGCCCCCAAGGAGACTGTCTTGGGGTGAACACGCTTTAATATTGTGTTTGCGTGAACCGAGGCACCTTGCCATCAGAGAAGCTCTGACAGCAGAGACAGAGATTTTGAAAGAAACACAGGAATCTACGTAGCTTCCAAGAACAGCAGTATACATTTGAGCTCTCCCAAATTATTTTGTAGGGGAAAAAGATGCTATTTAGTTCCTCACTCTCACGAGTGGGAGAGGCTGGTGCAACAAGGGACAACGGGATGAACAATGCAATTTTAAGTAGTCAGAGGTGGCTTCTGAGCAAGGAATCTGCTCAAGTGTTAATGGAGCTCTACAGGAAGGGCAGAGCCAGGATGCTTAAAAACAAACAGGAAAATAGCACTCGAAAACAGAATGTGGAGGTTAGTTTGGCTCTTGACCAGGAATAGGTCATGAAATGGGATAGGCCTATGACAAATCTGAAAGGCAAAAGGCATCACTGGTGCATAAACAATTTCTTTAAAAAGGAGTAAATGTAATCATTCCTTGGGCTTGCAGGAGCTAATCCCTGCCCCATTACAGCTGGGAGCCTGCACAACTTCCGCACAGCAAATGCAACGGGCTGCTCTGCCGTTTCCTCCTATGACAAAGGATAAGCACATGCAGTAACATATGGAGAACTGTATTTGAAACAGAGCTTTTAAATACCAACATGAACATTCACAAATAACAGTAAGAGAAAGAAGGCTCAGGATGCTACTCCATGCCTTTCCATTTTTTGGAAATACCACACACTTTTTTGAAATGCCACCACAGTGTACAACAGCCTACTTCAATCACTGAGCAAAACAAAACGTGTGTCTGGAAGCTCTGTCCATCTGAAGTCATTTGCTTAATTATGCAAGTTTGAGAAAGCTCATCTTTCTAAGCTGCCAAAAGTTCATGCTACTGCCATGCACCATGCCGTTCCTTTGAAAGGTATCTTTCCTAAAAGGAGGGATGGGAATTAGATCCACTTTGCAGCCCTCCATCTAGTTTTTGCTCCATGAAAGAGCTAATAACATGCTGCTTGGGGAACTAAATACCAGAAATTCAAAGCATTGAGCATCACAGAAGGATGCTAAGTTTCATAACGGCAGCTGAACCCAGTTACTGGCTGCAAACCCTTGCTGCCCCTTACAGCACAGATGAAAAAGCAGGGCAGAGGGAGGAAAAAAAAAAGGAAGGAAAGAAGTCAGTGTTTAAGAAAGATACAGTCTTAAGGAACCCCAAGAAACTCGCCTTCATCTTGTCTATGGATATGACAAACTTTTCTACATATCACTAAATTTCATGCCTCTGCTATTAGCCAGTTTAAACCTCAGAAGTGCCGGGAGAGCTAGACCCCCTTACTCAGGGGAACTACTCATTTCAAAAGTTCTCTCCATACTTTAAAGATTTGGGTTTGCCATTGCCCTGAGCCTTGGGGAACAGAGATGGTACAAGAGTCAGCCCTTCAAGTGTCTTGGCCTTCAAGCACAATATATTTGTGCACCACCTTTAAAGGAAGGGACCATGCAGATGAGGCCAGGAGAACACCGCAGGCGGCTGCTCCGTGCAGGTATTAACCCATCTTTCATCACAACAGCACACTCCTCCTGGGCTCTGTGATCTTCGGTAACTGTCTCAGTTTCTGGGCCAGAATGAAAACACTGGCCACCTAAGAAGCCTTTCCTGCTTCGTCCCTTAGCCCTCACAGGCACTAATCCTCCTCTTAGGCAAAACCACGGCTGCTTAAACCAGCAGCTGTCAGCTGCTTACGAGAGCAAGAAATTCAGCGCACGCAGCTCTGAGAAGATGTCAACTCCAAAAATCACTTGTTTAACCAAATTGAGCGAGGGCCAGGTTCAGAAACCCCCAAAGCATCTACATTTTCCAGGGTCCTTCTATAGGAGGTGATTAGGAGCAAGAGGACCAAGCTGCAAGACGACTCTGAAAGAAATCCATCTGGAAAGCAAATATTTAGATCTGTGACCCAGCTGGTATTTTTCCCCATTTGATTTCTACAGCACCCATAGTACCGAGCAGGATTTTCTAAAGAGGTGACTGAGTTTAGTGATTTAAATGGCCTATCAGTTAGAAATTTCTCAGACATCACCTAGCCTGACCGATACCACGAGGAAACCAGCTTCGCTGCCAGCTACTGTAGCTCTGAACACCCCTCAGTCAGCCAGGCCTGCCAGTAACGCTCGTGCACCAGGATGCTTACGTGATCTTACTGGCAGCAGAGAAGAAGTTTAAGGCCTGTTTTTGGTATGTCTTGATTTCTACCCTTCTGTACATCTTCCTGCTCCCCAGGGTTTCCAGCCCCAGGTACACCGGAGAAACAAAGATGCCGCTGGATCAGAAGCGCAGCCCCAAACCTTGCCGAGAGACGGACAGCTCTGAACGCGCCTGCAGACAGCTCTGTTTTATGAGACCTGGCTGCAGAAACTGGCACAGCACTGGTTCGGGAAAACAGCCTGACATGAGACTCGGCTTGTGCAAGATGTGATTTACAGTCTCTGAAACAACGGGATTAAAACCGCCCCCCCAATCATTTTCCATTATATAAGAAATGAGCAAAACGTGACCTTTGGCATCTTCACTGCGCAAATCTCTGTGAGGAGTCTGGGATACGATTCAGCATTACTAACCACCGATAATATTCTCGATATCTTACTGAAAAATTAAATCCCAAACGCTATTGTTCTAGGTGAGAAAACTTAAAGGGTAAGAGATCCTTAAGAAAAAACACACACACACACACTTTAACCAATAACATGCTTATTAATTTATGCACTGATACGGGCTGCAGGGGAGTGAGAGAAAGCAAGAGCTGAGCTGTCTTGCCAGTATGCCCACCCTCCACAGGACTCGCGATTAATAGTCTGCAATCAATGTCTCACATAACTCTACTAAGCACCATCGACCAGGTAGAACAATTGGATTTTTTTCAACATTTCTTGGTTTAACTCTCCAGAATCCATTGACCTGAAGCAACTGTAACCACCTGAAAACAACCCTGCCTCTTCCATAAATTAGTGTCAGTAACATGGTGGAAACCTCCAGGGCACTCAACAGCCTAACCAGCCCTCCCAGCCGAGGGAGGAGGCAGGTAAGTATGAGTCTCAGTTCTCATATACTCCAACAGCAACTCCTCTTGTGCTGGGATTAGAAACCTGAAGGGCATATACCCTGAGGAACGTAGAGGGATTAGCTTCATCTAGCTAGCCTGAGCGTTGGTAAAAGATGCAACAGCAAAGATGGACAAGCAGATAAAATGCCCAGGATCCTGGAGACTTCACATCCAAGCCGCTGAGTCTTTACGGCCGCTGCTGTCCAGGCAAGCTAGCAAAGTCACGTTTTGGTATGATAGGGTTGGTGAGGCCATGCTGGGCTCGTGCACTTACCTGCTCCCTCTCTCACAGGATTATCAGGCCAGATGCAAGTCAATTCTCACTGGCACTTAGGCCAGAAATGAATACAACCCTGTATTTTCCATTCTAAGTGCGAGAGGACCACTGACCAAACTGAAAATGCTCCCACAAATAGACAGAGGATTTCCATGCCTGCTGAAATGAACAGGAGGATGAACTGAGGTGCAGAGGAGAAAGTGAACGAACAAGACCTTGATCTCAGCTCTTAGGTTTGCATGTAAAAGCTGAATAAAGCAGGTTATGGTGATGACGAAAGAAAGTATCACAAAGACTCACCTTGATTGAACCACTCCTCTAATTACCAGAAAAGCAGCAAGGAAAAAACAAAAATTTACAGGAAGGAAGAAAATACAAAGGAACAGTCACAAAGAGGCAGAATTTCACAGAATAGGTTCAAAACCTGAGAATTACAAAAAACACAATAGAGCTTTCATTGATTAACAAATCAAGAAATTCCATTTTCTCCCTTTTGTGCCTGCTGAAAAAATATTCTCTCTGCAGTTCTTTCCCCCACTTCTCATTACGTGAAAAGGTACTCAAGGAAGCGAGGGGACAGAAGGCAGACTAGCCCTTTGCAGAGGTGTTTGAAATGCTATGACCAATGACCATGAAATAAAACAAACATGAAAAACTTTCAAGATTAAGTGAACAAGAGAGAACTGAAATGATCTATTTTCAAGCTCTTAGACTGACAAAAATGTTTCAGACTAGGTAGTCACACAAATTTACAAGTGAGAAAAGGAAGTTTCTAATTATGACTTTAAAAGCATATAAAAGCATATTTATTTAATAGATCCCCGCTCCCCAACAGTTGCCTGTCCCTCTCTATGGTTCTGACCTACAGGCCACCAGCTGCGAGCTCAGCAGTGTTACCAGTTGCTTTCCCTCTACAGCACTGCAAAGGGTAAATAAAGTGTTAAAAACTACTTAGGAAATGGAAATTTCCTGCTAAACACAGGGCCAAAACCAAATGGTCACTGAGCACCTGCACTGCGCACCAAGATCTGTAGGTTCACCCCAAGTGTCAGAGTTTGGGATTCATTTGTCCAAAAATACACAATCAGATATTTTGACTGATAAACAGAAGCAAACAGAGCATACAGACACAGAAGTTGCATATAAGTTAGCCCAACAGGAAGCAAGAGACACTTGACAAGGGATAAGCCACCTGAGAGCGCTCAGTCTTCTCAGTCATCAAGAGGATGACGCCAATTCTCAGTCATCACAGTCTCCTCCTCCCACAGGGCACAGCACGCACAGTTTTTACATCTAAAAACGTCTTCACTGACTACATTACTCTCAAGTAGCAGAACAACATGGCCCACAAGAGGCAGGAGACAGGCTCAAGCGAGCATGTGTTCAGAGTTCCCAAGGGATATTGTGCTACAAGTTCATTCATTTGCCATGAGAACAGACTGGCAAGACAGTCTCCAATTTTCCCCCTCCATTTATTAAAGACTCCCATCAATTTTTTTTTAAATACAGTTTAAATCTAGCTGACAACAGACTGGCTACTACAAAAACAAGTTCATACTGTGATGACTTCTCAAAAGCATGTGGTAACACAGAGCATGTTATTAACATGCACGGAAGGTCAGATCAAATAAAGACCAATGTGTAGCCCACAGTCCAGCAAGTTCTAACAATTCCGTATCTGCTCTTCAGCACCAAAACCCACCTTAGACCCTGGCTGTAAAAACAGGAAACCAGAATATGGTATACATGAATGAGGAAAAAGAAGCCTAGACAGAAAACGGAGTTTAGTATTCCTGAATTCAGGCGAGAAGAGTCATTTCTCTAAAATAACAAAGAAAACATATAATTTGAGTGTCTCTCTCAAAAAGAAAGACAGAAAGGGTTTACTGAGACTATTAATCCTCTCTTGAGATGAAATGCAATTGCAACACTCATGCCCCAAAGGGGAGAACAGTTCTAAAAAGTGACTGACAATTAAAAGCTACAAAAAACATGTTTGCAATTTAAATTACTGAAAGAGTGACAGAATTGAGAGGTTGTATGTTTTGTCTGGGGAGAGATGTGAGAGATTAAAGACACAGAACACATACTGACAGGACAACCATGCATGGAGATGACTGCATGCTGGCCCGGCTTCCAGAGACAGTGACACATGCTATATATAGGCCAAACTGATGGACTAAACATGGATTTGGCAGAGGCGAGCACACAGCCACGCGGAAAAGAGGCAGAGCACATCCACCTTTGTCCAACAGCGGAGCGTCTTACGTCAGCATGCACCATTACTCTCTGAAGCCAAACAAAAATTATTTCTTTAGCAATTTTGGCAATGATCCCCAAATACCTAGTAGTCTTGCAACAAAGGAGATCAACGCATGCCACAACACTATAAACACATACCTCCACAAACTGCACCATTCTAAACTAGCGTGAGGAAAGTGCTTGCAAGAGCAGGACTATACAGCACATCTACCCCAAACATCCACTTCTAGCTCTGAGCTCTCTGCAACACATACCTTTAGCTTTTTTCCCACCGAAACAGCCAGCATCATCTTTCTTCTTTTTCTGGGAGCCTCCTGTGCTCACAGTCTGACTGGCGTCTAGTTCTTGGTACTTATCAGCTCCGGGGACCTCTTTGTGGACATGATATGAAAGGTTCCGCATGATGCACACGCAGTTCTCCACAGACTGTTACAGAAAATTTACATTAAAAAATACCACCATAACCTCTGCTTTGCAAACTGTTCTATTACACAGTGGAGGGTTTGGGGGGAGAAAGAAATTAACATGGGCTTTAGAGTTCTCTCAAAGGGCAGGACTCAAAGAAAAGTAAAGTTAAGATGCTTTAAAAGCTTTGTCTTTATAAAGCAGTAATATGCTCTGGTTTTTAGCAGGTTAAACTTAAGATTAACTTAAGGTTAAACTTACTTTTAAGTATAAATACTCTTTAAGCACCATAGGACAAGATAAAACCAGATGCATCAAAATTTGTACGTACAAGAAGAACATAATGAAAGTGCTGCGTGTCTGAAGACACATCTTAATGTCTTAGCACTACAATCTTCTGAGATGGTGTAGATTAAAACTTGTAAGAAGGAAATCTACTCCTACGCCAATATTGTGCAAAGCACAATACAATGGGATCCAATTCTGATCTGGAGACTATACTTAGAAATGTCAATTAATTATTGAAGAACAGTAGCAGTAATGTGACTGCTCTCCCACCCCCGTCACAACTTTGATCACCTGAATAATTCCTCAAACATACAGGCTAACATAGCAACATTGTGCTGATGTCCCACCAACAGTATCATCGTTATCATGACAGAGATGAGACGGAGATTGGTTCTTCATTTTCTGAGACAAACATAAGCTTATTTCGATACTAGCAAACAGAACGCAGCTCCAAGTGCAACATTTCATCCTAAATTAATGGAAAAATTCACTCGAATTTTAATACACAAGATCACCTTATTGTCTGTATCCTTCTTGCCGACTGCAGACTGTAGAGCATGAAGAAGGGCATCCACCAAGCCATCACACTCTCTTAGTCTTCTGCGTGCTTCTGCTCCATCTGAACTTACATTCCTGACAGAAGAGATTTAAGAGAAAATTTAGCACTCTAACCTTCTCCATAAGGGTTGAAGGTGTCAGTTTATACTACGCTTGTTAAGAACTCATTATGTTGGATTGATAATTTGCAAGGAAGGAGAAGAGGAATTTGGTGATGAAGACGAGATTAGCTGGAAAAAGTCCGACAAACTATTAGATCTCTCTAACTTACGGGCAATGCACATGTGCAAGTCCCCAAATCTGAATGAAGAGGGGAATATAGTCACAGAGATGCCTGCATACTCCCCCTTCTGAGTTGATGGAAAGTTCAAGCCATATATCTTAAACAGGACAGGAGTTCAGAAAATACAACGCACAGTCCAAACATTTCATTTCATTGAAGTCAGAATGTTTCACAGAAAAAATACTTGCACTTTTTCAAGGAAAATTACACTTCAGATCAAAAATCATCAGCCAAATACAGCCAATAGTTCAGCTCACTTCCCTGAGAAAAAGGAAGTTCCATTTTGGGAGCTGGGTCCCAAAAGCTCTTGTGCCAGGGAACTGTTGTGCCCACCACACTGCTGGTTACGCTGGGGCAGGAAGGAAGGAAGGGGGGGCAGGAGAGCAGAAACTGGAGAAAGAGGGGAAGGACTCAGCAGACTATATCAGAGCAGGGACTTGAACCTGCATCTTCCACATGCCAGGGTACTCTTGCTTCCTTGCAAGCATGAAGAAAACTGGATTAAGTAATTCTGGTGTGCATGGTCTGGATTTCTCCCAGTGTGAAGTGAGAAAACATCAGAGATCTCAGAAACAGTATTAGGATGCAAAACCGATTTTCTACGCACAGTATCTGATGTGCCACAGCTGGACACAAACTTATTACAGTTAATACATATATGTGTGTGTGTATACATATATTCATATAAATAATATTACGTTCCATACAGCAGCACCAACTTCACAGTCTCTTTGGAGTTTGGCTCATCCCCCATCAGTGAAGCAAATCTCAGGCCCAAGATTTGATATCAAGTGGCTTGCAAAGCTGATTCTTCTGAAGCCAAATACTGCTCAAGCAGCATATTCCCAGCCCCAGAAGTTGAAAAATGAGTGGGTAAAGTTCCCTCCATACATCCTGGCTTTTTTATTTCATTAAAAAAAAAAAACACACCAAAAACACCAAAAAAACCCCCACACAACAACCAACCCTAAAGCAGGTGTTCAAAGAGGTATCGTTTATGTAATTCATTAGACTGTTCTGCCAAAAGCAAATTAGAGCCTATGAAAGGGAATGCCTATTTTATAAAGCTGGTACTGGGAATCTGTTTCTTATAACACATTTTTCCAAAGCATAACAGAGCGCCTCTGTCCCTCCCACATTTCTGGACTATACACCAGAAGATCAGCGAAAGGTCACAAATCTGTGAATCAGCTGTGTTTGATACAAGGCGGAAGCAGGGTTGTGTAGCCAGCGTACGAAACATTTGGACCACAGCAGGAGAGCGTACAGTGAGGGCCAAAAGAGTAAGCTTATGCTGAGCACATAAGACATAACAGGTCTGTAAAAGTAATGACTTCCAGCCTTCAAGAAATACTCTATGGCATTCCAAATCAATATAACAGCAGCTCTTTTCCTGCCCTGACCTATAAGATGTCATCTTGTAATAAATGACCCGTGAATAGGGTTTTTTTTTTTTTTTTTTTAAAAGAACAGAAAGAAAGGACAAAACGATCCTGCAGTGCACCCGCTGGCAAAGCTTACATGCAAAGAGTTCTCTCCAGGCAAAAGGCACCGATTTCAGCGCCGCCGCTGCCGCCAGCCTAGCTTTCGGGATCCTTAATTCTACAAACCCCTTCAATAAAAGGTTAGCTCTCAAAAGCACGCGACACAGTCATTGCCCTCTTCCATCAGGGCTGTGCCGCTAATTTATCATCTTTCACCAACTACGAGGACTGCCAATCTCATTCAGAGTAATTAACAAATCAATCACAGTCTCTCCCCCATCTCCACGGACAAGCTGATACGTTAATTGGACGACTAGAAAAAAAAACATTTTCTCCGAGACCTCTCAAAATCTGAAGACACTTAACTGCAAGCTGATTGTTGTAACAGCATATTAGCATTCAATTAAGAACACAAGTGAAACGTAGAGATAAATGAAGCCTTTCCCCAAATCCTAACACACAGCTTCACTGCTGGCAACAGCTGATACAGGGCAGGTAAAGTGGGTATTAAAATACGATTCCACAGGATATATGGAAGAGAGACCTCCACATGCTGTTTCTCACCTGCAATTGTACTAATCCCTTGCTATCAAACATCTAAGCATGAATTTTAATTTAAAGTCTTCATGAAACTGAAATGAGAATTCAAGTTCTCTGTGATACCTTTCAGCAGTTAGGTTAATAAACTATAGAAGCTCCACCTTCAAGAACATCTATTGAAGCGGAACATTACCTGTTCGGCTTGAGGGTGACAGAAATGCACTAAAAATGGCCTGCGTATCATCTTTTTAATTCCCTCATTGAGTCTCAGAAATAGAGAGCTAAAATACATAAGGAACTCACAGACTTATAATAATAATAATAAAAAAAATTATGCCCCCAAAAAAACCCCTTGACACCCTTGCCCTGTGGCCCACTCACAGCAGATTTTTCTAAGGTTCGTTTGTGCTACTACGTTTGCAATAACCAAAGCTGCAAAACAAATGTTATCAGCAGTATTACTGGATTTTGTATTTTGCTTTCTTATTTCTTGTTCGGTATTAGGATTGACATTAAGGTAGACACACTGATAAGATTACAGTTGAAAAAGACATTGCAAAGGGCATCAATAAGAAAAGTGGCTTGCTAGTTTCACATTCTCGCTAGAACTTCAACTACAAGTACAACTTACTGAAAAATTAATGCCTCAAGAATAAAGTCTCACATATATCAGACATAAGTAAGCATGAAAACTCTGCAGAATCAAATTAATAGCTAATTAATGCTATAAATAGGTTAACCAGGCATCAAACTACAGTTTTAATAGTATAACTAATGCATCAGAAAATGTATGCTTATGGGCATCTCATGCAGAAACATCTGCTTTATAAATGCTCAACTCTTCAGATTTTGCCAGCCCTCCTTGGGTGACTAGATTCCCGCAGCCCATAGGGTTTACTTTACATGGAACAATAAAACCCATTCTCTTGTCCATAACTATAACCCAGAACGACCTACTGGAGAGCTTAGCTCAATTTTTTCACAAGTCCAGAAGTCTGAGCAACATAGATCTCAGAGAAACTTAATCTAGGGAGATCAAGTCCTCCTTCACAGTACATGCTCTTTATGCTTCCCTGACACTGCAAAAGGCAGCTAAGAGCTCCCAATTCCCAGAGGAATACTTCCATTTCTTATATACACATAAATATGCCAAACATTCCTAAGCATCAAGCAAAGGTGGGCATGCTGAAAATGAAGATGGCATACTTTTGAGTAGGCTGTTATCTGGCAATCCCAGGAGACTGGGGTCTGTCTCCATGACCAGAGCAACCTTGAGAAAGCTAATTAAGCTGAGGTTATAAGTCCCCAGCTGAGCTCAGCAAAAAGCAAGGGATACTGCACCCTGGGAAAACGCCAGGTTATGTTTCCACCTTGGGGTGTTAAGACTCTACAATCTACCCTCCTTGAGAAGCTCTGCCTGGTCATGATCAGTCAAATTAACATCTTGGGTCTTCAGGAATGACTGCAGCATGGAAACAAAAGTAATTACACAGACAAGAGAGCTGGAGATAGTAGTCCTGCAGGGCTCTGCAGGTTGGTCACTAGAAAGGACACCATCATCGTTTTCTGCAACCAAAGGGCTAAAAACGGAGCGTATCCTTTTCATAGCATTGAACTGCCACAAGAGCCTGTATCCTTACACCATAAAAAGACCAGAAATTGCAATAGAATAGCCTGATATCACACTCCACTGACTGTCCAAGGAAAAAATCTTTTCCCGCTTCACATTTGCATTGGAACTGCTTTTGAAGCATCTAGCAGATTTATGACATGTGACAGAATGAAAGACATAGCTAAATCATGCGCCAAAGGAAGGTTTCAAAGCAAAGTTTCTAAACGTGCTTCTTGCGAGACAGTGATACAAATTAATGAACAGGCTACAAATTCCAGCAGATGTAGGAGAGGATTCATAGTCTTCTTACAGAGGGTGCCATTCCACAGAAGGAACACAAGGTCTTGAGCAGGGTGTTAGCAATTGTGGAGTCAGAAACACCCTGAAACTCATGCAACAGATATGCATGTCACATATGACAACCAGATTTGGACAAGGTAGAGAGTTTTGCTTTTCACTGAAGTATTCTACATCTTAGACAAGTATTGCCTTATAACAGGAGAAAATTAGTTCTCCAGTGTACAGAGTGTTTGATACAGGTCACAGAAGAGAAAGCCCAAACCCTAGCCAGGGCGCCCTGCTCACTGTTGCCTAGGAGCTAGGCTGCCATGCAACAACTGGAATGGCCCAAAGATTTTGGAATTAACACACCTTACCCCAGCAATTTGCTTGCTGGGGCAGTTAAATATCAAGAACATCTGCAGATGAAGTCAAATATAATTTTTGACTGAACAACTTGAGACAGGACTGGGAACTCCGCAGGACTTTTGAAGCACTGAGGATGGGCAAAATCCCGTCACAACTGAAAACAAAGTGGATTGCCTGTCCAAATGGATGCGCATGGGGAGCAGGAAATACCTGAACTACTTACACATGAAGCAATGATGAACTGTGTGAAAAGAATCCACTCACCATTGGCCTACCTGGCTGCATCCTTCCTGTTTGCATCTATAGATGTAAAGAGGGAACTGTTTATGCAGTATCCTTCATACAAAGGAGGCAATGAGAAAGTTCCTCAGCTAAAATTTAGCTCGAAATAGATTGCCAAATGGTCTCCTTCTGGCCTTCAAAATTAATCAATCCCCTCACAGTCATGGGGATCGTTCATCTCTGGGGTTCTGTGCAGCCTGCTTCCCTTGCTTTGTCTCTTCGCCCC